GCCATCTGTTTGAAAAGGCAGAAAATTCTACTTATGATAATTCATCTCTCTACCAACTAATGCTGAACTTCTTCAATAAGAAGCCATTCCTATCCCCTGCAATTAAAGATACACTTGGAAGGGCTAACATAGCTTTCCAATGTACAATGAAATGCAAATAATTAAAGGCAGATTTCTACTGGAGTGTAGTCAAGGAAAGAGAATCAGGACACAGGAGAAGAAAGACATTAGAAATAGAAGTATAATAGATTTTTTTGTACCCCATTTGGCTTAAATCCTCATACAGGAATAACTTGTAGAAATATTAATGTTCCCAAGTGGTTTAATAAATGTCATTTTCAAGACTGAGGAGGCAAGAGTGGATTATCTCAAAGGACCTGAATAGACAATTCACAGACATGCAAAAGGCCCAAAGACATATGGAAAAATACTCAACTTCACTAGCCATAAGAGAGATGCAAATTAAAACCACAATGATATATCACCTCACACTGGCCAGAACGACAGTTTTAATAAATCAAAAAACAAGTGCTGGAAAAGATGTGGAGAAAAGAGAATCCTAGTGCTCTGGTAGTGAGAGTGCAGATTGGTGCAACCACTTTGGAAAACAGTATGGAGTTTCCTCATAAAATTAAAATGAAATTGCTTTCTGATCCAGCAATTCCACTTTTGGGAAATCCTAAAAGTCCCAAAACATTAATGCAAAAGAATGTATGTACCCCTATGTTCATAGCAACATTATTTACGATAGCCAAGTGCTGTAAACAGCTTTAGTGCCATCAGTAGAGAGTGGATAAAAAAGCTGCAATACATTTACACAATGGAATACTATGCAGCAGTAAAAAGGGAGTTCTTACCTTTTGCAACAGCATAAATGGTACTGGAAACTATTATGTTAACTGAAGTCAGACAGCTGGTGAAAGACAAATACTACGTTATCTCACTTATAAGTGGAATCTAATGAACAAAATAACGAGCAAGAGTAGAATTAGAGGCATAGAAACATGAAATAGACTGACAACTGTAAGAGGGAAGGACGAAGCGAAGACTGGTTGAAAGATGGTGAAGGGATTAATCAAAGAACATATATGCGTGACCCATGGACATGAACAACAGTGAGGTGATTGACTGTGGGAGGGGGGACAGGCTGGTCGGAGGGGGACAAAAGGGAGGAAATTGGGAAACGTGTAACAGCATAAACAATAAAATATTTTATTAAAAAAGTGGTTTATCTCAAAGTGAGGGTTAGAGCTGGGCAAGTTATGAAAAGGCATATTAAGCATTTTAAGTTCTTTATTAAGGATGACAAACTGCCGGCATAATACACATGAATGGAGTGGCCTGGTCCAAAACAAGGCAGAGATGGGATCTCTGGTACTCACCTGATCTAAAAACTCAGCTACAGCTTATAATTCTGGCCTAATTTTGGAGGGTTTGTGTTTGTCTTGTTTTTGTTTTTTTAGGAAAACTCATCAAGCTGTATTTTTTTTTTTGTCTGACAACTCTAATTTTAGTAATTAGCTTGATTTCTTTATGAAGCTTCAAAAGGAAGACAAAACATGTTGGGAATGCAGGCAGCTGTGGCTTGCAGCCTGTTGACCTGCACACCCTGCTTCCTTAAGAATGATGAGAAAACTAGGATTAGAAGGGTTAACCTTGCTCCAAACCACAAACGTATTAGGTGATGCCCACCTGAATTCAGATCGGACTATCTGTCTTTAATGGCGCTTTTATACAGTCCTCATTCCAGGAGCTGTGTGTGCATGTGCACATGTGTACACACACACACACACACATACACACACACACATACACACCCCCTACCACAGACCCCTTTGGATGTTCAATGAAACCTAAAATTTTCTCATTAAAATAATATCTCAAAAACATAAAATACCTAAGAGCTCAAAGAAAACCAACTACACTGAAATAGTTATCAAAATATGCTATTAGGACACAGAAATGAGCTCTACCACAAGAAGTCCCAGGGAGAGATTAGGTGTTTATCTGAAAACTTTGGAAATATCTTAGCCAGATGACATATCTGATGTTATAATTTTGTGGTACCAAACTTAACAATATCCTGGACAATAGTTCTACCATGTTTACAAATAAACAATTCTTTCATATTTTCATATATCTGAACAAAGTCTTTCTACCTATAGTTGAAACTTACTTATTAATGTGCTACATATAAAATGAAGAGATAATTATTATTTATTTCCAAGTTGATATTTTTAAATATTTTAAAGCACTACATTATTATATTTTGAATAGGAAAAGACAGACACAAAATATGTGAATAAATTATATCATTTTTAACTATGTAACTTTATTTTAAAATGTTATTGTAATAAAACAAAACATTGACCTACTAAACATTGCATATTTATTATTTTTCCCCTTTCATGCAATCTTAGAATATATTTCAACTTTAAATGAATAAGAACCTCAAAATTATAATACTTCTTTTGAAAAACATAAGCCAACAAAAGACATTAACTGTAGAAATACACAAAAGATTAATAATTGGCACAAATCCAATATTACAACATTGGTTAATATTAACCAAATCAACACATCCTAATTCAGTTTTAAAACCATGCCCTTTAAGGTCAGGTTAGCACATCTCTTTCCATTCCAGTAACCCAATGATTTTTACATAAAACTTAAGACAACAACAATAGCAATATTTTTAGTATTTATTAAATCCTTAATTAGTGCTAGTAATGTTACATATGTTTTGGCTTAATTGTCACAAAATCTCTAGTGGTTAAATTCTATGTGCACATTTTATAGACTAAGAAACTGAGTCTTAGAAACATCTTTGTGCAACGTTGCACAACAAGAAAGTCGTGGGACTGGAATTCAACCTGAAACTGACTGACCCTATCTAATTGCTACATATGTGTCCCTCAAAGACAGAAAAACAAATCTTGTACTTTAGTGGATCCCCAGAACCAGCAAGAGCTTAAACAAAGGGGGCATTCATAAATAATTTTTAAACTAAAGATTGAAATTTCAGAAGCAAAGTCTACATACCAAACAAAGATGATGCTTTTTGCTGAATAATGGAAATGTGGCAAAAATACATATCTACCTTGACCTTTTCCATTCATCTGACTGATTTTGAAGCAAGAAGAAATAATTTATGATTTGATTAAAAGTGAACTAGTATTTCACATTAAAAATGTGGTTTTATACATAGATCCAACATTACATTTCTTCATAAACTTCAGCACATCATTTAATTTTAGATATTATACATTTGACCTGGAGATTGTTTGAGATAAAGCATGCAGAGGCCTTAAAAGTTGAAGATAAATGAAAGAAACTATTAATGCCACCTCTGTCTTTGCAAGATAGAGGCTTATGATTTTCCTCAAAGTACTTGTAAGTGTTTGAATCCAAGATGAGAGATATTTTCCTGAATGTTTTTCATGCACTTCAGTAAATTCAAGAAGATACAACCTGTCAGTATGACTTTTGACAGAAATCTCGAAGTGTCAGGCAATTTAAAGTAGTTCCCTACCCTCTCCGTTAGCAATGGAAAACTGGAAAATGCTCTGTTTATTTTCTGCTGTTTGTCTTAACAAGCCACAGTCTTAAAGACATCTTAAAATTAAAAAATCAAATTCTGTGTGTTAGTGGTTTTACCTGAATGCAATTACTATTATTCAAAAGCATACTACTTAAAAATAATATGCATTGTGTGTAGAGGTCTATGGGGATGGGAAGGGAAAAAGTAAATGACACTTTTGTAATCCATTCTGCCCACTATACATAAAAGTCACAACAAAAAAAATTAATCCATGGTTATTATCCTCATATTAGATATTAAAAAGAGAAAATGAGGCAAAGGGAATCTCCCAGGATAACACAACTAGCAAATGAGAGATCCAAGATTTATTATGAGGTCCATATATGTTTGGAGCAATGAACTTTGCCCGTACAGAGGCTCAGCCTTGAGTTAGCTCTGTAAATTCTCTGGAACTTAGGTTCTTCAGCTGTTAGGGAAATGGATTAATCAGTTGATTTCCAAAGACTGCCTTGTAATAGAAAATATTTTTAATCTAATCAGTAATAAACCAAGTTAGGAAGAATTCTGCTATATATTTGTTAAATTATTTTCATCTTTTCTTCCCAGAGTTTACATTATATTGAAAATGAAATCCAAAACTCAGACTAATAAAACTTTTGAGTATTTTATTTGGAGATGAAAAACATGTCATAAAATTAATAGTTAATAATTTTCTAAATGTTTTGTCTTAGTATTAAGTGAATTCATCACATCTGTGATATTCAGCAAGGTTTTGATGGTTTAAACTTTAAAAATTTCCATTTGGTTAATTATCTGCTATATCAATTATCAAGTGCTGTAGCAATCATACACCCATTAAGAAACTATATTGTTAAATTTCAGATCCTCCAAACTATTCTCTTTTGTTCAAAGTTGACTCAGAATTCAATTAAACCCAGTGAATCAAGATTGTTCAACAATATTCAAAAGAATCTCTTCACAACATCATATTTTTCCATGAAAATATTCTGTTGCTATGAAAAAACCCCCTGTTATGCCCAACTCTCTAAATTAAAGTTTTACATGTGGATACCATCAGAGTACCACGAGGTTGTGCAGCTGAGTGATATGTTCTGGGTTAGAAGATGAATAGACAATATTTTATTTTAGGCTTCTCCAAGTAGTTTATGTTCATAGGATTCAATCTATAAAGCCTGAGTTTGTGTTCACAAATTTGATAATATATGCATTTTTCTATGAAAATAACACATATTTCAACAGGGTTTTAAATGGCTTTATAATCTCAAAGGATTGCAAATACTGCACTGACTTTTAGGCAAGATATTTCATCCCTCTCAACCCTGGTTTTTTATTTTCACGAATTTAGACAGACTGACTTGAAAGGCAGCTTCTAAGTTTAATTTTCTATTGCATCAAGAACAAAACTAATGATACTAAATCTCAGACAGGAGATCTTTGTTCATTGCATTGGATATCTTAATGTGGTCTTCCCAAGATTTAAATATTGGTTACTTAGTTTCTTCATCACAGCTCTTTTCACTTCCTCATTTCTCAAAGTATAGATGAGTGGATTCAAAAAGGGAGTGAAGATGGTATAGAAAACAGAAAGAACTTTGTCCACCAGGAAGTCTGTGAAAGGCCACACATAGATGAAGATGCAGGGCCCAAAGAACAGTAACACAACAATGAAATGTGCAGTGCAGGTGGAAAAGGCCTTAGATGATCCTGTGCAAGAGTGGTTCTTGATAGTAACAAGAACAATGATGTAGGAGGTGAGCAAAAGCAGGAAACTTATAAGAGCAATTACACCGCTGCTTGAGATCATAAAGATTCCAAGAACATATACATCTATACAAGCCAGCTGGATGACCAAAGGAAGGTCACAGAAGAAACTGTCTATAACATTGGGACCACAGAAGGGTAAGTAGAGAGTAAAAGCTAACTGGCTCATTGTATGCAGGAAGCCCACTGTCCAAGAAGTTACCACAAGCCCAACACATACTCTGTGGCTTATAATTGTTGAATAATGGAGAGGTTTGCATATGGCAATGTACCTGTCAAAAGACATAGAGATCAGCAGCACAATCTCAGTCCCAGTGAAGAGGTGCACTAAGAAGATCTGAGAAATGCAGCCCTCAAAAGAGATGGTCTTGCGCTGAGTGAAGAAGTCTGTGATCATCTTTGGAGTGGCAAAGGAGGACAGGCACATGTCGATGAGAGACAGATTGCTGAGCAGGAAATACATAGGGTAGTGAAGTTGTGGGGTTGACAGGACCGTGAGCAAAATCAGGCAGTTTCCCAGCATAGTCATTAAGTAGAAAATGGAAAACATCACAAAGAAGAAAATCTGGAGCTCAGGAGAATCAGTAAGTCCAAGCAATACAAATTCAGACACTCTGGAGTGGTTGAACTGCTCCATTGATCTGCAGACTTTGCTCTACAATGACAAAAATTGAACAGGATGATAGAGATAGAAACTGTAAGTACATATGAAGGAGTTATATCAATTTATAATTTAGTGGAACATTGATTACCTAAAATCCAAATAACAACTATCTCAGTGATGATTTTTCTTTTTGGAATCACTTAACAATTGACCGGCATCAGTACATAGTGGGTTATATTCATCACATACACAATAATATTCCTGTTCTGAATACTGACTAAGGAGTTACATAACCCATAAACTAAGTTAGCATTCTCTACTTAATAGGTCAGGTAAATAAAAAGTTAAATAAGGGTTGAACTCTCAAGTTTCTTTTAAACCAAAAAAAAAAAAAATGCAATTACGTTGAATCCACTATTGTTAAATACTGGATTTAACTAACAGTTGAACATGATTTCAGAAGACTCACATAGTATCTTATGACTGTGATAAATGATTTTTCATTTAAGTGAACTCCCAATTTTCCCAGCTACAGAAAATCCAGTTTCATTCTCATTTCACTTGCATACTTTCAAAATGTTTTGTAGTGTTGATGCTATTTTTAACTATTAACATATAAATGATAAATTAATTTCTTAATTCCATAAAACTACTGATGACCAAATGGATTACCTGTAACATATGACAGCTATTCTCAACCTTGTTACTTTATAATCTTATACAAACATTTAGAAAAGAGAAAATCCTTCTTTTATCTCTCCTTGTGCTACTCAAGCACATTTATTTTTATTGATTAGAAAAAAACCAATTTTAGGACTGGGCCAGGAAATATGCAAGGTAAGTGTTGGGCAGAATATAAGATGCTCCAAACGAGACAAAGCAAACAAAAAAACCCATGTTGATGTTGGTATATCAAAGTAACACCAGAGCCAAATGAAAGAAAAAAAAGAAAGATACTATAAAGACTCATTTTTCAAAATTGACTTTTCAATTTATAGCACATTTCAAGTTCTGTAAATATGCTATGATGTTTTTCATCTAAGTGTCTTTCTGTTTTCCCATTTGGAAAAAATATGGCACTACCCTCGTTTACTTGCACATATTAAAATTGTTCTGTCAATATTGATAAATATTTTTAAAACGTGTCAGAGAACAATATTCCAGAAATCTTAAAAGTGAACTGTGGCAAAATGGTTAAGAAGATTAAAGTGTTCTCAATTGCTGTGTGACCTTGATCATTCTTCAGTAGCCTCTCTAAGACTTGGTCCCTTTGTCTTTGAGAATTAAATGGTTTATATAAAGCACTAAAAATATTTTTTTGTGTGACATTCAACAACTCTCTAGGTTTCACAATGCAAATTTAAGAATACTATGCAAGAATAACCAGTTTGTTTTATTATAGTAATAGTAGTAGTAATAATAATTGCAGTAAAAATATTCTAAAAGTTTTAATTATGGGGGCTAGGTGGAGGCAGACAATGAGGGGGAAAATGGAGACATCTATAATAGGGTCAACAATAAAAATAAATAAGAAATGTGCATAAAAAAAGAAAAAACAGATATGTCTTCCAAAACAACTTAATTTTTTTAAAGTTAAATGCCTTCATATGAAAATTATATGTGTACCTTAATATGTTATATGCATTGAAAGTTCTCAGCCTTAAATACTTGAATATTTTTTCTATTTTCCTGATGTAATAATGTAATTCTTAATGAGAGCATGGAAACTTACTATATCTAATTTTTGCATATATTTAATTTATATATACATATACATATAATGAATATGTTATGTATTCATTGTCAGTGAATAAAAAGCTGTCAGTTTTTTTCCTCCTTTCATTTCCAGAGCATCTCTAGTGCCTATTAGAATCATCCATCTTTATGTCTTCAAATTATATAATTTTTTCGTTACTACTCTTCTATTATTTTTGTTTTATATAATTATGAAATGCATTTCTTGCTACCTGAAGAACACAAACTACAACTGCTTCTCAAGGTTCTTAATATTATTTCCAGCTGTTAACCTACCAGCTACTCATTGGAAATCAAAAACACCATATCCTTCAAGATTCACAAACCTACTGAAATCACCAGGATCCTTGGTAAGCATCAGAAGTGTGGAATATGGATAAATATTTTCTCTAGTCTTGGTATAAAAGCCACTCAAAAGCAGAGACATTTATGAGATTAGGGATTAGACATTACAGCCTATTTGCAGTGGGAGTTATTAAAATGTTGAGCTAACTTTTCGCAAAGTTGCAAGAACTGTGAGATGTGTCTTTGTTATTTAAAGTGAGGTTGCACATGCATGTTGAAACAGCGTTTGTTACAGAAGGAGCACAACTGGCGCTGACCTCAGAGAAGCGGAGCTTTGAAAAGTTATTTAAGAAGCATTTTAAAGGGCGAAACATTGCTCCTTTGAGTGTGGACACATTGCCAACTATCTGCCTCAGTGCTCTATGTCCCAAAGTTAGAAAAGTACTCTTTTAGATTAAGGCAGTTTGGCAGCAGCAAACTCGTGCTTTAAAAAAAAAAATCATTTGAAGGAAGAACCATGCATTATACTTTCTTATAAGACATTAAGAATTAGTACAATATGTAGAATCTAATGAGCAAACTGAACTAATAAGAAAATAGAGACAGACTCAAGGATAGAGAGAAGGCTGGCAGCTAAGGTGGTGAGGTTAGGAGGTGGAGGAAATGAGCAAAAAGGAAAAAGGACACATGGACAAAAGTGTGGTGATTGCCGGGGGGAAGACGGGTATAAGGGACTAAATGGTAATGGAAAAAATACAATTAAAAAAATTAGCAGAGGCTAATGAGTATAATGATAACTTCTGCCATGGCCAGGTGAGATCTGGGGAAGGGGAAGCTGGAAAGCCCAAAGTAACTGGAAGAAGTGAAGACATTTACTATGCAAGTACCCTAGAGGAGTGGTGTGAGAATTAAATTATACAAATAAATGTAAAGCATTCAGTACAATGCCTGGCACAGAGACATTGCTGAATAAAATATAGTAGAAGGAATAGCAGAGGTGATTATAATTATTAACATTATTTTTTGAAATGTCCATGGCTTATAATTCATGAATATTCTAGATGTGGATTCTCAACCTAAAACCATAACTGAGAATCTTGCCATATCTACTTGATTGCCAATCATTTATCACTAGCTAGCTCTCCAAATCCAACTTTCTTCTCAAATAGCTCAGTGATTTCAGCTCTTCACAACTACCATACATTTCCCACATGACTAGAAATAGAGCTCAAGAAATTCTTCCCCAGCTGAACACACGCCCTTATAACTTTAATTTTTTTTAAAAAAGGCAACTTTGTTTTTAAGATTTTATTAAAATTCTCATCTGTTAAAGAGAAGGGAAATGACTTTTAAAGAACAAACCAACATGCACAAAGATTTGGTAAATCTAAAATTCTAAACCAAGTATTTGCCTTGGTTTAAAACAAAAGGTAAGCATATATAATTGTTACTGGAGTTATGAAAAAGCCAAGAGAATTCACAGAAAAATAATAGAAATAAAAGATTTTTCAGAAAGAAGGAGGATGCAGTAATTTAGAGGCTATGAAACTGTTCTGTACTTGGTTGTGGTGTGGGTTACATAAATTTATACATGTGCTAAAATTCAAAGAACTGCATAGCAAAATAAACCAAAATCAAATTTACTTTAAGATAATTTATAAAGTAGAATTCTAAAAAGCAAAACTAGGTAATTCAGTACAGTAGCTAGTTACAAAATAAGCAAATAAAACCAATAACTTTCTTATAAATCAATTATCTATTAAATAGGTAGCAAAAACACAGCTAATTTAGATGAACAATAAGATCTACAAATAAGAATAATATGAATCAGAAATGTGTTGTTATCTATGTGACAACAAACTATACTACTTTACAAAAGGAAAAAAGAGTGGAATAAATTGAAATATATATATATTATGTTATTGGATGGAAAAACTCATTATCATTCAACATATACATTTTCATAAACTCTAGTGTGGGAAAACATATTTGCCAATGATACATTGGGGAAGGATTTGATCTCCAAAATATATAAAGAACTCATATGACTTAATGCCAGGAAGACAAATAATCCAATTAAAAAATGGGCAAAGGACCTGAATAGACACTTCTCCAAGGAGGACATACAGATGGCCCATAGGCATATGAAAAGATGCTTAACATCACTAGCCGTCAGAGAAATGCAAATTAAAACCACAATGAGATACCACTTCACACTGGTCAGAATGGGCATCATTAATAAATCAACAAACAAGTGCTGGCGAGGATGTGGAGAAAAGGAAACCCTAGTGCACTGTTAGTGGGAATGCAGACTGGTGCAGCCACTGTGGAAAACAGTATGGAATTTTCTTAAAAAACTAAAAATGGAACTGCCTTTTGACCCAGCAATTCCTCTGCTGGGAATATACCCTAAAAATCCTGAATCACCAATTCAGAAGAACTTAGGCACCCCAATGTTCATAGCAATGTTATTTACAAGAGCCAAGTGCGGGAAACAGCCTAAGGGCCCATTAGTAGATAAGTGGGTTAAAAAACTGTGGTACAATTACACAGTGGAATACTATGCAGCAGAAAGAAAGAAGGAACTCCTACTTTTTGCAACAGCATGGATGGAACTGGAGAATATTATGCTAATTGAAGTAAGCCAGTTGGTGAAAGACAAGTACCATATGATCTCAGATATAAGAAGAATATAATGAATGAAATAAACTAATGAGCAAAATGGAACCAGAGACATGGCAACATGGAACAGACTGATGGCTGCCAGAGGTAAGGGGGAGGGGGATAATGGTGGGAAGAAGGGGAAGGGACTAGTCAAAGAACATGTATGAATGGCCCATGGACATGGGCAACAGTGTGGGGGTTGACTGTGGGAGATGGGCGGGGGGGAGATGGGTGGAGGAGGGCAAAGGGAAAAAAATTGGTACAGCTGTAATAAAGTAATATCAAAAATGATTTAATAAAAAATTTTAATAAACTCTATGTAAGTTTTT